GGTCACTGTGAGGTGGAATTGGCTCAAAGGTACCTGGGTACACATCGGGACTCACAGAGGGTCTCATGGCGCTTTGCTGGTCAGCAAAGCCACCTCAGAGGATTCCAGTGCTGCTCAAAGGGCTCCTCTTTTTGAGTTCGGTGGAGCTGGGCTCCAATCCACATCCCAGTGCTCTCTGCCTCTTCTTTGTGGCTGCCTGCCTATTCTGCAGCTATGGAAAGTGACCAGGAGGTGCGCTGAGCAAGGTAGATCTGGTGTTCTGCAAGCTGTTTTATGAAGAAGGAAATTTAGGGTTCTGGCATAGTGTCTACATGTTGGGCTAACCACAAGGTCAGCAGTTTGAAACTACCAGCCACTCCATGGGAGAAAGAGGAGGCTTTCCACTCTTGTAAAGAGGTAGTTTCAGAACCACACAGGGGGCAGCCCGTTGGGTTCGCTATGAGTTGGCATTGACTCAATGGCAGTGAGTTTGTTTTGTGATGTTTTGTTTTGGAAGGCTCCCTGGTGACGCAGTGGACTAAGAAGTGGGCTGCTAACTACAAGGTGAGCAGTTTAAAGGTACCCACAGCTCCACAGGAGAGAGGTGAAGCTGTCTGCTCCTATAAAGATTCATAGTCTAGGAAACCCTGTACAGGGTGGTGTTGAGTTGGCATCCGCTCAGTGGCCCTGAGGCTGTTGTTGTTTTTACTCGCCAAAAATGAAACCCACTGCCAGCAAGTCAATTCCAACTCATAGTGAGTCCATAGAACAGGGTAAAATGGGCTCCTGTGCATTTCCAAGACTAACTCTTGACGGGAGTAGAAAGCCTTGTCTTTCTCCCATGGAGCAGCTGTTGGTTTCGAACTCATAGCCCACTACATCACCAGAGCTTCTTTTTGACTCCACCATCTGAGAGTGTTGTGATCTTGGCCAAGGATGTGACCTCCTGGAACCCTTTCCTCCAGGGTAGAGTGTGGCCAGCTTTTGAGGGCCCAGGGAAGCCCTGAGATAAAGCACAGCTTGCTTATCAGAAGGGCAGTCAGCCAGAGAAAGGGAAACTGCACAAAGGGGCGTGTGATGGGGTGTATTTTCATTTCCTTTGTAGGGATACTATGTGAGGACAATTTGAGGCCAGGTTTCTCGGGGTTAGAAAGTCCCCGAAGACCCCACCCCCACCGCCAAAGCCCATGCATGCCATTTATGGCAGCAGTGCCTGGATTTAATGAAAGAAGAAACCTTTGATTTTGCTTTGGGAGCGGAGGGGTGGCTCCAGCTGTGTCTGAAAGAATGGGGAGGAGCTTCGGGTTGGCTAAGAAGCTTCTAGAAGGAAGCTCCTCTAGAGTCCGTCATTGCAGACATGTGTAGAGAAAAGACTCGGCTGCAGGAGGCTATTGAACAGAACACCTGTCAGGAGCTTGTAACCGTGGCAGATTCCACCAGAGCAGTCACAAGTCATCTGTCCGGCGGAGCGGCTCCCC